GAAAAAGGGGGCCAACGGGGCCCTTACAGCTGCCGAGGGCAAGCACAGCCCCCGCGGGGCACTGCCCGCTGCCCCGTCCTCGATGGGTGCCCGGGGAGCCCCGACGCTGCGTCGCAGTGGGGAGCAGAGCCATAATGGGAGGAGAGCTCAGCACGGGGGGACACAGCAGGTGTCACATTGCTGTCCCCTGCCACCTTTCATCCGTGTCCCCCCCATCCCCTCCCTGACCCCCTGATGAACGTCCTTGGCACAGCCAGCCCGGCCGGACTCTCAGAGCCATGAGCATCCCTGGTACCCCTGGTGCCGATGACACCCCGGGACCGGTGCCACCAAGCACACCCGTGCACCCACGGGACAAGCGCATGGCCCCAAGCCTTCCCCCCAGCCTCTGCCCACGGGGGTCGAGGGCGAGCGATTTGCACAAAGCACCCAAAGCCCCCACAGCCACAAGGCAGGCAGGGGAGGCCAAGCGCATCCCGACGTCCCCGCTTGCCAGGTGGACGCAGCCAGGGAAGCCAAGGGAGGCGTGAAGGAAGGGAAGCCCCTGGCCTGACCCCCTGCCAGCTCACAAGGGCTCCTCGCCTCCTTTCCCAGCACCGGTGGGACAGAGCCCGGGCTGATGCTCAGCAGCCCCAGTGTGGAGATGTCAACCCCATCCCTGCCTGGTTTTTCTCCTGGGCCCTGGCCACGCTCGGATCTCTTCTGTTTTCCCGGTGCGAGGGGGACTTCCCAGCAGCGGAATGAGACGCAGCTGCTCCAACAGCCTCCGCTCAGTCTTTTTGTTTGAGGAACACGCTCGTTAGTTCCAGTTCATGTTGCACATCCGTATGGCACCAGCAGAACAACAAGACCTCCTGGCTGCTCTGGATGTTTTCCTTTCCCTCCCCCTTTATTTAGCCAAACAAGACCGCGGAGTCCCCACTCCCCAAGCCAACCGGATTATTTTGGAGTCCCAGCGCCGCGGGGAGCGGGCGAGCAGGGCTCTGCCTTTCCCCCACTCGGCTGGCTGCCAGCGAGCGCAGGCTCTGCCCAAAGACGTGATCCTCCTTCTGCGAGCGATTAAACCTTTCGCTCTCCAGGCTGCTTCAAGCCTTCAACTTTCACATGCTTGGCCCCGCGCCATCTCCGGCCTGAAAAAAACTTGTGTTCGCTGGATGCGAATAAAAGGGTCTTTCTGACACGGCTGCTGGGGGAGTTCATCGCTGTTCCCCGGGGCTGCGTCAGTGCTGCGGCTCTGCCTGACAGCAGGCAGGGAGC